GAAACGCGTAAATACGTTGTAATTCACTGCTGATGTCATCAAACATATCCAGGTTATAAAGTATTCATTAGTGTGATAAATGGGTTACTCGCATCCTTATTGTAGTATTATGTTTCATGACTTCATCTGTAATGTAAACCACACAATTTTCTTGCTATTTATATTCTTAGATAGCACTATAAATCATACATTTGAAAATTTAGTCATTTAAATGTTATAACAAATTCTATAACACAAGTTATTATAACTTACTTTAGTTTTATTTTTCTAGAAAGGTCTCTTTAGCTTCATTATTTGTACAAGGTTATATTCATCTGGTTATATGACTTGTGCCAAAACGCCTAATGAAGAATGGAAGAGCATAGATTTTATAAGTTATAATTACAATATAACTCCCCCCAGTGGCACAGCGGTATGTCTGCGGACTTACAACGCTAGAAACCGGGTTTCGTTACCCTTGGTAGGCAGAGCACAGACAGCCCATTGTGTAGCTTTATGCTTAACTTCAAAACAAACAAACAAGCAATATAACTTTGTAAACCGATCATGTCGAAAATACTATGTTAAATTCAACAACTAGAGTCAATAAGATGTAACTTAAAATTTTAGGATAAAATAGATAGTATTTAGATGCATATTATCGAAATTAGAGAGTTAGTAGGAGTCTTAGTACCGGTTTTTATGTGTTATTGGAATGATCTTAGAACACGATAAATTTGCTGTGTTTTTTAAATATATTGTGAAAAGATTTTGTGGAATTCATCAGCATATCATGAACATCACACAGAAGAAATTATACAACGAAAACTGTTGTTTTATTTAGGTACAACTTCTGCTCTTCTGAACATATATATTTTCACTACATCAGTATCTGCAACAAGATATCCACCTAACAATCAACTTTTTCATTTTATTTTTTTAGGTACCAACAAATTTTGCATGAATTATATTTACGTCTCATTTTTTACTTTTGTTAATATCTAACTCTTCATTATTTAGATAACTACAACGAATAGGAATTATTGTAGCACACAGTGGATGTTTTCTGAAATACAAGATAGATTGTATAGTAAATGTAATTTCAAAAGTATATGTGTTATTCCAAGGTAAACTTGGCTTCAGATAAGCTAATTAAGACCATAATAACAGGATTTTCTGAATTTGAGAAGCAAAATTAGATTAATTTTGACTTTACCAGAAATAGTAACAATGAGTACATTTTTTTAATAATCAAAAAGACACTTACAAATGACAAAAAACAAAAATAACACTTCATGTAATCTCCACTGTTGATAATAACGTAAAGTGTTAATGGTGGGTTGATAGCTTGCCGGGCTGTCTGTGTATCCGAGGTTTCGTGGTTCGTGTTTCGTTACCGCCAAGAAAAATGAAATCGTATTCCCCACTTTGGGCCAGTAAGTGCTTTATAACAGTGACGGTGAAATCCCAATTTTTTATTAGGGTAGCCCACGAGTTGGCAGAGGATGTGTTGACTTCTTTTTTTCTAGTCTATCAATTCAAAGTCAACGATGGCTGACCCAGGTAGTTCTCGAACAGTTTTACATGAAATCCAACAAAACATCAACAACAATTGTTACTGATTGGTTTTCTGTTGTGTTTAGCTGGAATAATCAAAGGAGAGGGCAACTTTACCAATCAAACCAAGCAAGATTTGACGCATGCTATGTATTGCAGCGCGTGTTGAAATAAATACCTTGGTATAAATACTACAACAAAGAAACTATTGTTTATGAAGAAATAAATAAAAACATCATGCAATAAATATTAATAATATTATTATTATTACAATTAAAATAATCAAGTTCATTTTTTTTATGTTTATAGTTGAGCACAAAGCTACAAAATGGGCTATCTGTGCTGTGCCCAGCATGGGTAACGAAACCCAATATTTAGCATTATAAGACCACAGACTTGGCGCTGAGCTCGCGCCACCGGGGTGAGGGAAGGTAAGGAGGTAACTGTAATATACAAAAAAACATTACTAAACATACTATTTTTTTCTCTTTATTAATCCACCCTCATAGAGGGGTATAAACAAAAATACATCAGTGATTCAACACATTTCATGAAAATGTCGTTACAGATCTGCATAGTAATAAAAAATAGTGAAGGTTAATTACTGAAATTACATACACAGAAAATTAGTAATAACAAAAAATAAATAAAAAGTTTTACTAAACTTAATAAAAATAAGATGATCTAAACTTATAAATATTAAAAATCAAACACAATTATTATACCAAATCATGACATAGGATGTAACCCTAAACACTTCACTTACCAAATACCCAGAGTTGCGATAAATATTATAAAAATCTGACAATTTGTCTCGTAACCGAAACCTTAAAATGTTGTTGTTGTTTGTTATAAATTTCGCGCAAAGATACACGAGGACTATCTTCGCTAGCCGTCCCTAATTTAGCAGTGTAAGACTAGAGGGAAGGCAGCTAGTCATCACCACCAACCACCAACTCTTGGGACACTCTTTTAACAATAAATAGTGGGATTGACTGTCACATTTATAACACCCCCACGGCTGAAAGGGTGAGCATTTTTGGTGTGACGGGGATTCTAACTCGCGACCCGCAGATTACGAGTCGAGCGCCCTAACCACCTGGTCATGCCGGGCCCGGAAACCGTAAAAAAATCTAAATAAATTTTAAGTTGAGTTGTGTATACTTTAACTATCCCCTGCAACATAATAATAAAATAATCTAAGTTTACGTGCAAAGATATTCCCAATTATCAATTGTTTTTTGTCGTATTTACACATTTTTCCTTCTGATAATACAACCGTGAGAAAATATATAGGCCAATTTTCTATAATTCTTCTCACACATTTTCTTGACCGGTTAATTTCTAGGATGTTCTAATATATCCCGCCCCAGCCACTTTTCAGGCCGTGACTCAGAAATTGGGAAGCACTGCATCTATACATGGCCACAAATTTAACACACACACACACACATATGTCAATTTATTCAGCAGGCAGTCGGAAGTAGTGAATAAAGTTAACTCACAAAAAATTGACTAAATATATGAACGATAATGATATTAGAGAAAGATCGTAATAATAATACGATTTAAACAAACAAATATTAACAGTAATAAATATAAGGATTACAGTAACAAATAGAAAGCAATGTATTTTAACTAATGTAGCCTGCACAAAATGTTCAACCGAACTACAATTGTAGCTATTTGGAAACGAAATGTTCCTGACAGCCATGGCCTGGCACGGTTTGGTGGTTAGAGCGCTCGACTCGCAATTTACAAGATGATGCATTAACACTATCAATTCCCTTCAACCTTAAACACTTCAGTCATATCCCCCATGACTCTTTTTTTCTAGATAAAACTGTTTGACAACCCCTTCATCCCAGGCACCATTTAGTAACCCTTCTCTGAATCCTTTCCAACAATTCAACGTCTTTCCTAAAGTAAGGAGCCAAAGACTGGAAAAAATTTCCAAATGTGGCTTAACCAGTGACAAATACAATGAAATTATAACCTATTTTTAGACTTATATTCAATATTTCTGTAGATACAACCTAAAACCTACCAACAGCACACTGCTTGGATGGCTTTAGAGACTGATCAACTATTACACCAAGACTCTTTTCTTTCATGATACTGTTAAGGTTATTCCGATCTAAATTATACTTATGATTTAAATTATGATTACCTTATAATTATTTATTATAATTAAAACTCATCTGCCATTT